TTGAAAGATTCTATTACTAAAGGAATAACAAAGCAGCAGTCTCCAGCACTGGCATGAAATGTACAGTTTTCACATAGTTGCCATATCTGTCTCACAATCTCAGTCATCACTAATATTTCATGTTAATATTTCATGTTTCTTCCCAAAGTGTGTGTGCATATACAATACAAACATACATTCTTCCCTGCCTCCTTTCATGTAGAAGGTAGCATGTTATAAATGTTTGTACCTTGATTTTATATCAAGTGGTGTGGGGCATCATCTCACATCACCACATTGGAGGACTTTTGTTTTCTACAGTCATTATATGTACTTTATTTATCTGGTCCATTACTGATAGACATTTGATTCTTTCCAGCCCATTGCTTTTATAAATGATGTTGCCCTGAATACCATGAACAAATAAGTATTGTTGCACACATGAGTGGTGTATCTATACATTAAATTTCCAGAAGTGAAATTGGTTATCTAAAGATATATATTTGTAATTTGAATAAACATTGTCAAATTGTTTTCCATGGAGGGTGAATCATTTTGCACGTTCCACAGTCATGCAGGAGAGTGCCTGCTTTATCACACTGCCAACACAAAAATGAGTTTTTTACTTTTGGCATTCCAGTTTATTTAAAAAAATAGTACATTAGTATATTTTTAATTGTCACTTTTTATATTAAATACAGTGAGCATCTTTATATATTATATATGTTCAGGTCATTTGGGTTCTGTTCTTGTCACCTGTTTCTAGACTTTGCTACATTTTGTTGTCCTTGTTGGCCTTACTAATTTCTAGGAGTTTGTTGTATAATAAGGAAATGTGTTCTTTGTGATATAAATTGAAAATTTTTTCCTACTTTGTCTTTTAGCATTACTTTTCTGTTCTGTACATGTTTTTCTTCTTTGAATTCAGTAATCTTTTTATGGCTTTTAGATTTGGAGTCATAGCAAGAAACGTTTTTCAGCTTGCTGATTAAAGAGGGCCACAGGTAACCTGAGAGAACACACTTGAGTGGCAGAATATGAAGAACAGAATTGGGTGGGGCAGGTATAATACTTGCCTGAGCAATGCCTTTTGTATAAATAAACTAGACTTGATTCTCTTACACCTAATCTATGTTTTATATTCATTCTGATTTCTGATTCTCCAGACTTCAGGTGCTTCATCTGTAACCCTTACCTTCAGTATCTCTAGAGAGCTCTTTTTATGATAATTTTTAAAATTATCCAAAGATATTGGACAACTATTTCCTAGTTTAAAGAATAATTAGAAAAGAGAAGAGGGACTGTACAAGAACAGAAAGGATCTAAGACATGTAATGATATTTAAATTTTTTGGACTTATTTATATTTTGATCCAAACAAAGGAACTATAAAATGTCATTTTGAGAACAGTGGGTTTAATTTGATTCTTTATTTATTTATTTTTTTGGTACCGGGGATTGAACTTGGAGTCTTGTGCTTGCAAGGCAGGCAGTGGCACCACTGAGCTAAATCCTTGGCCGGAATGAGTATAATTCAAATGTGACTGGGTATTAACTTTTTATTAAGACATTATTAAAAAGTTGGGATAATGGGATGGTGGTTGTTGTATTTTAAATATACTTTATCAGTTAGTTTGCATCCATAGACATCTCTTTAGGTCACAAGCCTAGAAATGGAGTCATTGGGTGGATCAGAGGGTACACATAATATGTGATCTGATACTCATTGTAATTTAGCCTAGAAAGATGGTACTATTTTCTGCCTGCACCAGCAGTTGTATGGGAATGCTAGTTTTCTGTATTTGCAAAACCAGAAGACAGACCTCTTCCGATGAGTAGGAAATACACCAGAATTAGGAGGTGTAATTGTAGCACAGAGGCCTCTCCGTTCTTACACTGGGTGAGCTACTGCGGGCTGTGGTAGGGGAAGGCAGGGTCAGCTGTACTGGGCATCTGCAGGGTCATGTATGTCTATGATTATCAGTGAAGAAACTGTGGCTTAACGCAAACCCTCTTGTCTCTGGTCCTGCAGAAAAATTCTTGATCTGGCCCCAGAAGCTGTGGCTTCAGATCAGCAGGATATCTCGAGCCAGAAAGGAATAGGTTTTACAGTGTCACAACTCTTGGGCAGATTCCATAGATAGCTTGGTGATTTCTTAACCTATATGTCCTTATAGATAAGCACACTGGAAGGGTCTTCTTTTATATCATCTTATCTTCCAGCACTGTCGGCCTTGCTTCATTAATTTTTGGCTTATGTTGTTGTGGTTTGGTGATTAATCTTGTTTGTTGCAGTGTCTACAGAATGCTTATATTCTGAGGTTTTCACACAATGGTGGTTTAGCATTCATCTGGGGAAGTGCCAATTTGTACTTATGTCTCTGTTCATGTTCTATATTGCATATTTTTGCCTTGTTCTTTCTCATCAGAGAGAAGCTGTCAGAGTCCTGACAGCAGCTTTTTTGTTTATGCTACTCTTTGTGAGCTTTTCTGTAGGTTCCTGCTCCAAATACAGGAGAGTTGAGCAGCAAATCAAACAGTAAGCCTAGGAAATAAAGAAGTATTGAACAAATTACCCTTGTTTCAGCCCTTTCAACACAGAGTATAGAGATTCTCAGTACTTTTATTATATTTTTAGGGACAGTGGATTGTAATGAAAATGTATTTGAAGTTATTATCTGTGAGTGAGTTTCTCTTTATCAAATTTCCTTCAATCTGACGGATTTCCAAATGATCATAAGCGCTCTCTGTGGTAACTTATTATTGCATCATGTGGCTACCTTCCTGTGCAAAGTTTAAAGCAAAATGTGTGGGAACCCTGGAATTAGATAGCTATTGCCTAGAGAACTTATTTTATCACTAATTTGTTAAATATAGTAATGTTGAGATTTTTTTTGTCTTGTTGTTGTTTTGGTGGTTTTTTTTTGTGGGGGTGGTCTTATGAGACAGGGTCTCACTATGTAGTTGAAACTGACCTGGAACTCACTATGTAGTCCAGGCTGGTCTTGAACTCACAGCGATCCTCCTGCCTCAGCCTCCCAAGTGCTGGGATTACAGGCATGTGCCAGCACGCACAGATCCTTCAGATTTTTTTTTTCACTCTCTTTCTAAAATACAATTTTTCATGAAAATCTCTTGCCACTGACTGATGTCACTCTGGAATGGAAGTGTTTGGAGAACACCTGGCTGCTAGTTGGTCAGTAACATCTTGACTTTGAACAGTTTGTGTTATATTTTAGAGTAAGTCACGGCAGGTTGGTGGGGGCTGGTGACAGATAATTGCATTTTTTTTGTTTTTGTTGTTGTTTTCTTTGATACTGAGGATCAAACTTCGGTCTTTGTGCTTGTGAGACAGGCAGCAGAACCACCGAGCTAAATCCTGTCACCTTTTTAAAATCACTTGTTCTGGAGCCAATCATAATTAGGAATGTTTTTCCTTTGCTCAGGAAAGCCATATTTTGCTTCTTTTTCATCATTCTAGGGAAATTATAAGACACTAAGAAAATTTAAATGAGCTTAAAAGGATTGGAGCCTTTTATTTGCTGGGACTGCATAACGAAGTACTAGACACTGGGTGGCTTAGAACAGTAGAAACTTACTGTCACAGTTCTGGAGATTTGAAGGCCAAAACCAAGTTGTCAGCGGGATTGGGTCATCTGAGGGTTGTGAGGAAAAATGTGCCCCTTGCTGCTGGCCTGGCTTTCGGTGGTTGCTGGCAGTCTTCCATGTTTCTTGACTTGTTGATACATCACCTCGATCCCTGCCTTCATCCTCCTCTTCTGTAAGTTATCCTGAAATGGGGTTCACTCCAGTGACCACATTTTTTATGTGATTACCTCTCTAAAGACTATCCAAGTAAGACCATATTCTGAGGAACGAGGAGTTACGACTCCACCTTTTCTTTTTTGTGGTGGGGACAAAATTCAAGCCCCGACATCTTTGTTAATCTTCGTTCTTTGACTTGGAAGCAGAATTCTGCATTGCACAATGGGGCAGAGACTCAGTGCCACTTTCTTGGTTTTGGGGTCAGTGGACAAGGCTTCTGATCTGTGTAGAGGACAGGACCAAGATGGGAGGAGAAAACATCTGCTGTTTCATTTCTTTACTACTTAATGGGAAATCATGCTCTCTGTGACCTCCAGTCATAACTGCAACGTATAATGAACACACTCTTTGTGTGTAGTTGGCACATACACATGACCATCTTTATTCCCTTTTCATCCCCTTTTCCCTCCCCTCCTTCTGTTCTCCCTGCATCTCTTGAACCCCTTCCCGTTTGAGAAAGATCTATTTCCCTACTTCCTGTTATCTTATTTTGCTTTTTATTTATAAATTGGGTTTCTCCTATAAGAGAAGGGATGTGATGCTTAAGTTTGTGAGTCTGATTTATTTCCCTTAACATTATGGTCTCAAGATGCATCCATTTTCCTACAAATGACTCCGTTTATTTTTCTTTATGATAGAGTAGTACTCCAATGTGTGTAAATACCACATTGTCTTCACCTTACATCTATTGATGGACGTATAGGCTGCTTCCAAGATTTAGCTGTCATGAATTGTGCTGCTGTAAACGTGGGTGTGCATGTATCAGTGTAATAGGATGTCCTTAACCCTTTCTATTTGGGACATGAGACATAAGCTTCTCCCTGTTGTTTTATAACAACAAAGAGAGTAATCATGAGATTTACACAAAGAGCAGCATTAAGCAGGGAATTTGTAATCACCCAAGTTAACCTTTCTCACAGAAAACAGCTAATCTCTGTGAAGTAACACATGATCTTTAATATATATACCTTGCTCAAGAACAGTAGACATTAGTCACAGCCCACTAATTTTGTGTATTTCCCATGTGAAAGAGATGGGATATCGTGGGGATGTTCTATAACACAAAGGAGGCTCCAAGGCAGCCTCAAAACGCAGATCTTCTCATGAACCTGCTAACAGGAGGGGTGGAGGGGTGAACTGTGGAGCTGTGGCCAGAGCCGTTCTCATTATGCGTGCACTGGGTATGTGTGTTGTCAGGCACCAGCTGGAGACACCGGGACATTATTCTCATCTGGCTGCCTTCTATGAAGACAAGAAAGGAGTGCTCCATGCAGGACCTGGGAGAGGCAGCAGCCTGCCCCCTGTCTACTGGCTGCCGTCCATCCACCGCTACATGTATCCCGAGATGAAGGTGAAGTCAGCTCCACACTTCCACAGTGCTGGACTTGTGTCTGGAACAGTAGTTGTAGATTAAGTTTTCATTGATAAGGGATTTCTATTGAGCTCATGTACAAAGGCTGCTTTTGATTAAGCTGGGTTGTAAAATAAGCATTTGGATTTACTTAAAACATAAGGTGAGTTCTCTTGAACAATCTGCCTGCTAGACATTTCTATAATCATAGTGCCAAGTCACGTATCATAGGCAGGCTGGTTGTGCTGGACTCCTAGGAGGGAAAAGATGGATTTTATTCTATTGATTGCTTCAGTATTGTACATCTAGACCTTTGAACTAAAGATGAAGAATTTAATGAACAAGTAAAATATTTCTTAGTTCCGATACTTTTGATATTTATTTTGTAGATTTTTCTGTAGCACTTTGCTTTTGGTTCTAGAATATGTTTGCTTCAAGTTAATAAAATGCTGCCCAAGCATTAGATGTTGGAAGGATACAAAGGTCACTGAGAACATGATTCTTCTGTTTCTCTTCCTTCTCCCTCCCCTGTGGCTGGTCATATTTCAGTGGAAACTTAGGGCTCCCCTGGGAGAGAAATTATGCATGAGGGAGAATGTATCTTGAAAGAGGAGTTGGTCTCTGAAGTTCTTTTTTGGCTCGATGGAAAGTGAAGGATGCTGATCCCAGACTGAGGGAAGGCATGTGCAGTAGTAAAAGCCATGGTCTGCTGCTTTCTGAGTGTCTTCTCTGAGCTAGCTCTTTATCTGTACCTGTTACAGCCTCTTTTTTGTTTGTTGGTCGGTTTTTGTTTTTTTGAGACAGGGTCTCACTGTGTAGTTGAAACTGACCTGGAACTCACTATGTAGCCCAGGCTGGTCTTGATCTCACAGTGATCCTCCTGCCTCAGCCTCCTGAGTAATGGGATGATAGGCATGCACCACGACGCCCAGCTGTTACATTTTTAAATTAAAATTTAATTAATTTAAACATTTTTCTTAAACATTTTTTTTTCATTCCTTGTTTTTTAGCTAAAGTAATGGAGGCTTATAAAGGCTCATTGACTTGCTTCAGGCTTTGTAGCAGTAAGAGATGGAGCCAGGATTTAAACAGACTGGGTGCCAAAGCCAGTGCTCATTGCTCTCTGCCCTACTTCACTGCCTTTGCAGAGACGTAGACAAAGGAAAGCACAAGACACATTTATGAGTCATGAGTGAACTCATTTAAGATTATGTTTTCATGACCATAAGAAAAGACTGGGGAAAAAGGGTGGAATCAAATTATAGCGAACTTTAAAGACTACCATAGAATTTGAACCCTAGTAAGTAATAATGAGTACAGTCTAACCAGGAAAAGAGAAACCATGTTAGGTATTTCAAACTAATTTAATATAGGGAATCAGTAATATAGAACTTATATAGAGTATAGAACTAATATAGAAGATCAGAGGAGCAAACAGGGATATGTGTGCCACCTGACATTAGAAATCTGTTGCTGCATAACAAATCACACCAAGATTATAAGCTTAAAACACTACATATTTATTAGCTCACAGGTTCTGTGAGTGAGGAGTCCAGGCATGGTTCATCTGGGCCCTTTGCTTCATTGGTCTGTCATCAGACTGCAGTCAAAGCGTCAGCCAGGGTTGAGGCCTCATTGGAAGGCTGATCGAGGGAAATATCTACTTCTAAGCTCATTGGCAGGGTTAGATTAAATGAAGGCCTCAGCGCCCTGCTGGTGGTTGGAAGCTGCCTCAGTTCATAACCATGTGAGTCTCTAATCTGGCAGCTTTGCTCCATCAAAACCATTAAGAGATCCAATCCTGCTAACTAGATGGAACTCAGAATTTTTTGTAACCTCATCTCTGAAGTATTGCCTGCAATGCAGCCATATTATTTGGGTTAGAAGCAAATTACTCAAGAGGAGGAGGTTGTATGAGGTTGTAAACACCAAGCGGGTGAATCATTGGGGTTCTCTTTGAGGCTGTCACACCCAGAGCCAAGGTGGCAAAAGGGGAAAGGATTCATTATCGGCACCATGGGAGCTTGGATGGGGGAACTCTGCCAGCCCAAGCTTGGATCTCTGGGGAGGCACTGGGCTTTTGATTCTGGTGCCTTTTGGGCATTGATCAGCTTGTACTAAGAGGGCTGAGAAAAGCTACAAGCTGGAGCCAGGAGTCCTCTCCTGTTGGAGAAGTACCAACAGGAGGTAGAGACTAAGGAGAGCTCCTCCCTTCCTCCTGCCTTCCAGCCTGCACCCCTTGACTTCCATTAGAGGAACTGAACAGGCAGCCAGTTGGCATGGAAGTCCAGGAAATGCAATCTGCAGATTTCTCCACCCCCTAGTATTGGCTAAGAGATAACAAGAAATGGTCAGAGTGAGTGAGGTCCAGGGAATATGGGGCTTGTATGAATCTGAAAGTCTCACTGGTCATCCTGAGCAAAATTGCTCCCGGGCTGTCTCCAAACCCAGAGGGAGGTAACCATTGTCTGACCAAATGTTTCTAGATTCCTCACCCCTGGAAGTGAGGAAGGAGGGTCAAAAAAGAGAAAAAGGAAAATTGCCAAATGCTTTTTCCCTGTTGAGGACAGCTCATTAACATACTTATAAAGTACTAGGAGATATTGGGGAAAAAGTACTTGAGTAGGTTGCAAATGCAAATATGTATGGTTTTATAAAAAACAACATGCCATTATAGTAAAATGACAAGTGCATGTTCATTTTGTTTGAATGATCTCTCTATAGGGATCTGACCTATCTATAAAACCACTGGAGTGATATGTGTGAGAATGTTTAATTCCATATCATTCAGAGAGATAGAAAACTAGGATGCCCATAGAGCAAGCAGCCCTTGTGAATAATGAATTAGGGCATGAGAAATTGACAGGGAAGGTTGGCCAGGTCATGTAGAAAATGAGATGTGATCACACTTTAATAATGACAGTCCGAGGTATAGATACAGATACGGGTACCCAAACATGCATGAATGCACATAGAGAAATAAGAATGGATGTGCACTAGGTTATGAATGCCCATGTGGCCTGGGTGCGAGAGAAAAGTACGGAATGGAGGGAGGGCTGTGTTTACTTAGGAAAAAGGAAGGGAAAAGAGGAAAGTGACAGCTGTGAAAGCTACCCAAACTGCTGGCATCTTACAGGAAGTGGCATATTCCCTCCTAGTCTCCAGGCCCGTGTCTGTGCTGGTCTATCTGCCAGCACACCAACCTGCAACTTCATGCTTTTTGTTGAAGCTCAGATGTCCAGGAAGTGTCCATCTTCGCCAGAGTGGAATCAGGCCCCCTGCCACCCATCCGTCCCCACAGCTCCTGTCCATCTCCCACACTCACTAGGCTGGACTCTGATTGCTTATCTGTTTCTCCTAACCTATAATTATATGAAGGCAGGGACTTGGTGTTTTTTTGTTCCATGTTTGAACTGGAATACTTGGTGCTTTGGCATAAAATAAGCACTTAAGAGATACTTGAATGAGTGCATATGGTTTAGTCACTTTCGCCTCACTGGGACAAAATACCTAATAATCCCAACTTAAGGGAGAGGAGGTTTATTTTGGCTCACAGCTTCAGGGGTTCATTCCATGGTTAGCTGGCCCCAAGGCAGAATGGCGTGGTGAAAGGGCCTGGTGGAGAAAAGCTGCTCACCTCATGGCACCCAGAAAGCAGAGCAGAGAAGAGAAGGCCTAAGGAGAGAGGTGTACCCTCCAAAGTCACACCTGCAGTGCCAGTTAGGCCCCATTTCGCTGTGTTATCAGTGGATCAGCCCACTGATGCATATATAGCACCCTCTAATTCAGTCACCCACCTTTGAACAGGAGGTTTTAGAAGACATTTTAGATCTAGACATAGCAGAACACATGCATCCGTGAATGAACCTGTAAATGAGATCAGTATTGTCTAAAGATCATTCACTTGGTCTAGGATTTCCAGGCCCAAGACACACTGGTACTGACCCTGCCAGGCCTTCTTGCAATAGACATATGTTGAGGGCTTGAAGATAGCTCAGGGAGGCACGGAAAAATGGATTGTGTTTTGGCTCCTTCCTATCTGGTTCCTAGTTGATTAGATGAGAGATAGTGATTGGAGGATTTGACCAGGCTGTCACTTGGTAACTGTCCTGTTGATCTGGGATATAGTGAGAAAGGAACAGCCAAAAGGAGGTCACAGACAGGCATGTTCAGGGTTGGGTGGCCTTTCTCCTGCCACTGGGCAAGTAAATGGCATCAATTCAGGGTCAGTGCCTTGGAAAGGAACGTGTTCTCTCAGGTGGTCTGTGTGCATTTTTGAAAGGCTGAGGGCAGCACTGGTGTAGACAGGCAGAGCCTAGAGGCTGCCTCAGGTTTCTGTGTGATTCCCGCCTTCTCTGTTATTAAACCCAATGCGGCCTTAGTGTGGCCACTGCTCTTCAGAACTGTTCTGGGCTTGTGTCCCTGGTAGCAGGTGAGCTCTCAACTTTTGACACTGCAATATGGACATGACTTCCTGAAACGCTTCCAAGGCACCTGGTTTGAAGCCTCCGTTTGTCAGTAACATTAGTGGTCACCACATATGGGCTCTTCATAGCTGATAAATATTTCCTGTTTTGTCTCATTCTAGCCTTAGGTAATGGTCTCCCTAGTTTACAGATGAGGAAAGCAAACTAGAAACATGAGCTTAATTTTTCTTGAGCTCCCTGTTAGTAAACGGCAGGGCCAGGATTGGAACTCCTTGAGCTTTGCTATTAACCCCAAGGGTCTCCCTCCTGGAAGGCATCCCTGGGGGTTGCCAGCCTCTGCAGGTGGTCTTGGCAGGAAACTCGTTAGTGTTGGAGTGTGGCAGGGCAGGGCTGGGCTGGGAGGCCCCGTGCGTCTGCCTTGCCTGTGGCCATCTCACGTGGTGTGCAGAGGTCCCTGTTTATGTGGCTGTCTAATCCGAGACTGTTTGCTCATCATCTTACTCCTCAGAGTGTGCAATAATAAAATGTTGGAAGTGACTTTTGTCAGCAAGCTTACCGTCTCTTCAGACATACCTTCATTTCTGGCTTTTAAAAATTTAGATTCAGCTTTGTTTCCTTGGTACCTCTTTCTCCAAAGTAGTTAATAATATTTAACCCCAAACTTCAGTATATCACAGATCCTTTGCATTATGGAAACCCAGTTTAAAGATAAGACTTAAAGTGACAAACATTTTGTACAAAATATCCATCCCTTAGTGTATCTTTTTGTTCTTGGGGTGTTTTTTTGTTTGTTTTTGTTTTTTAGGTTTTTGGGGTTTGGGGGGTGGTGGTTGTTGATTCGGAACATACCTACACTGAATATTTTTTACAGTGATAATTTCTAACAAGTTCTTTCCCCTTCTTCCCTCTTCCTGTCCCTCTTTGTCCTTTCAGATCACACACCCAGCTGGCTGCATGTCTCAGTTTATTAAGTTCTTCGGAGAGCAGATCCTCATCCTCTGGAAATTTGCCTTACTCCGGAAGCGTATTTTGATATTTTCTCCCCCACCTGTTGGCGTTGTGTGCTATAGAGGTAAGCAGAAGCCACAGTCGGGCTCTTCCTAAGTTCCCAGATCAGAAATTGCCCGAGTCTTTCCTTCTTCACCAAGTTTGGAAGAATTTGGGCCATATTAAGGGGATCAAGGGTTTAAGGCCAGCAGTGACCTGACTGGATCTGTATTTTAAAAGGTGGGGTCTTGGTGTGCAAGCAAGGGAAAAAGTAGGTTGGGGGACACATTGGTAGCTTGGTGAGAGCTGGATCAGGGTTAAAACAGAGAAGATGATAGATTCTGGACACGTGTGAGAAGAGAAACTGGACACAACTTGTGTGGTTGAGTTTTGAAGGTTATGAAGGGGAGGAGAGAAAGGGAAAAGGATGGATGGCAGGGCCACCAGGATGGGGTCACTTGGGTTCCAGGTGAGCACAAAGCAGAGCCCTCCATAGCTTCTGTATTAGTCCACTTCCTGTCGCTGTGATTAAAATGCCTGCAGCTGAGGGATTTGTAAAGAAAGTAGTTTATTTGCTTCATGTTCTGGAAGTCCAAGAGAATGGCGCCAGTATCTGCTCAGCATCTGGCTCAGGGCCTCATGGTAGAAGAGCAGAAGCAAACACATGGGGGGCG